AGAAGAAAGATTACAGAAGTGGCAAGAAAACCTACAACAATGGTAGCTTGAACAGTAAAATAAACAAGAGAGACTACAGCAGTGGCTGGAGGAGAAAAAAATTAACAAGAAGAGAAGTTACAGCAGTTGTTAGAAGAGAAAGAAAATAAACAAGAAGAGAAGTTATGGCAGTTGTTAGAGGAAAAAGAAAAGAAACAAGAAGAGATACTACAACATTGGCAAGAAGTACAAATGGAAAACATTAGTAAATTTAAAAGCGAATTAGATACGTTAAAGGACGACTTTTTGTCTTTTACACAATGAGGATACATTAACCATCGACTTAACCAGCCCCAGACAATGACAAGCCCTATCCAGACCCTGCAACTAAACCCTAATGCATACATATTCAGTCCTGTTAGAAGTCACATCCCAGAATGTCAGTAATAGGAGTGATTCAGTAAGAAGGAAACCACAGGAATACGATGGGAAAGCACTGTGGGAAGCATATAGAGCACAATTTGAGCAACTGGCAGAAATGAATGGATGGACAGAAGAGCAGAAAGCAGTATATCTGGCAACGAGCTTGAAAGGACAACCACTGGAAATACTTGGACAGTTGACAGCAGCCGACAGACACAACTATAGAGCACTGGTAGAGGCTCTGGAACTCAGGTACAGAACCCAAAATCAGTCAGAAGTCTACAGGGCTAGGTTTAGGATGATAATCCGTGCTAAAGGGGAGAGCCTGCAAGAGCTGGCACAGGACTTAGAAAGCATGGCACACAAGGCCTACCCAACTGCACCACCCAATCTCCTCAAGTTGTTGCTGAGGGATAAGTTCGTAGACGCCTTGGACAGTCCCTAACTTAAGATACAAGTGAAGCAAGCACACCCCTCTACCATGCAGGATGCAATGGCCAGAGCTCTCGAATTTGAATCCTACATTAAGTCCAGCACAGGTGTACCGAGGTTGGTACAGTCATCTGGATTCAAGGCTAGAAAAGGTCAGCTTTCAGAGAAGTTTGAGGGACTTTGCTGGCACTGTAATAAACCTGGGCACAAGAGAGCTCAATGTTGGCAACTTCAACACAGGGGAGATGATACAGCAGGAAAGGCTGCTACCCAGAAAGGTTGTTGGAACTGTGGAAAGCATGGACATTTGAGGAGCCAGTGTAGGAAGAATATTACCAACAAGTCAGCCTCAAGGAGACCAGTAGTGGTTGGTGTTGAGGGACACTCACCAACCCCCATCATGAAAGTCCCTACAGCAAGGTGTAAAATGCCAAGCACACACAGTGTCTATGTGACAGGAAAGCTAGATGGCCAAAGGTGCAACTTTGTCATAGACTCTGAGTCTCAGCAAACTCTTGTGAGCATCAAGGTGTAAGATCATGAAGGAGTACTAGAAGCCATGCAGAAGCTTTATGGTGTGACAGGACATTCTACAAGATTGTGGGGACCAGTATGGGTAACTATTGAGCTCATGGGCATAAAGGACAGACAGAAAGTATACTTGGTTGACATTGAAGACCAATGCATATTAGGATTGGACTATCTACTACCGAGGAAGTTTGTAATTGATTTTGATAAAATGACATTTGGGAACAACAGAGGCCAAGTTTTGGTAACTATTAAAAGAGAGTTTGAAATAATTAGGTGCCATCAAGGTGAAGTCAAAGAAGAGCAGAAGAAAGATCAAGATTTGAAACCAATGATTGATTTTCTAAAAGCGAGTGTTGTGCGCCCTGCTTGGGAGAAGGTGTCTA